TACTCCCACTAGCCTTGACATATACACAAGATTCATCTTCACTCCTAGAAAAGCCAAATTCCTTGACTTTCTCATCAAAGCAAAGATTCCATCTGCGAGGTGCTTGCTTTAACCCATAAATGGATTTCTCAAGCTTACACACTCTATTAGGGTACTCTGTGTTGACAAAACCCTCTTGGATGACTCATGTAAACATCCTCAGCCAACTTTCCATTAAGGAAAGCGGTTTTGACATCCATTTGCCATATTTCATAGTCATGAAATGCGGCTATGGCTAACAGAACCCTAATAGACTTAATCTTGGCCACTGGAGAAAAGGTCTCATCATAATCAACTCCCGGAGTTTGTGAGAAACCCTTTGCAACCAGTCGTGCCTTATAAGTGTGTACATTACCATCCATGTCGGTCTTCTTCTTGAAGATCCATTTGCACCCTACAGTCTTACGACCTGGTACATTCTCAACCAAGTTCCAAACTTGATTGTCATACATGGAATGTATCTCGCTGTCCATTGCCTCTTTCCACTTGGCTGACTGAGGGCCTGCTATGGCTTCCACGTAACTGTTAGGTTCATCCAGACCTATCAGTGTCTCATCACTGATAAGTGTATCACCTTCCGCAGTAATATGGAATCCATAGTAATGCTCAGGTGCATTCCTAACCCTTATGGAACGCCTCAGAGGTACAGACTTGTCAATTGGCTCAACAGAAGTTTCCTCCTCAAGTTGAGTGCTAGGGTTTGAAGTTCCTTCACCACTTGACTCTTGAATTTCTTCAAGGTCAACTTGCCTCCCACTGTCTCCTTGGCTTATGAACTCTCTCTCTCTCGAAAGAAATCCCTCCTAGCTACAAAGACCACATTCTCACTAGGTCTGTAGAAGAGGTAACCAAAGGATTTCTGTGGGTAGCCGATGAAAATACACCTCTCACTTCGAGGTTCGAGCTTATCATGAGTCTCGCGTCTCACGAAAGCCTCGCAACCCCAAATCTTAATGTGGTCTAGTTTGGGTACTTTACCAGTCCACATCTCATGAGGAGTTTTGGCAACTTTCTTTGTGGGAACTAGATTAAGGATATGGGCGGCAGTCTCTAAGGCATACCCCCAAAATGAGATTGGTAGCGAAGCTCGACTCATCATGGAACGAACCATATCCAACAAGGTTCGATTACGCCTCTCAGCTACACCATTCAACTGCGGTGTCCTGGGAGGTGTCAATTGTGAGACAATCCCACATTCCCTAAGATAGTCGAGGAACTCTGAACTAAGATACTCACCACCTCGATCGGATCGAAGCATCTTAATGTTCCTGCCCAATTGATTCTCGACTTCCTGTTTAAACTCTTTAAACCTCTCAAAAGTCTCTGACTTATGCTTGATTAAGTAGACATATCCATATCTACTGTAATAATCAGTAAAAGTCAAATAATAACGATTAGCATCCCTTGTGGCATGTTTGAAGGGCCCACACACATCTGTGTGTTTAAGATCCAACAAACCTTCACCCCTCTCACAAGAACCTGTGAAGGGTGACTTTGTCATTTTTTCCAAGTAAGCATGATTCGCAACTATCATCTGACTTTAGGTCAAATGACTCCAATACTCCATCCTTTTGGAGTTGGCCTATGCGTTTCTTGCTTATATGTCCAAGACGACAATGCCATAATGATGCTTTATCCAAGTTATTATCATTAACAGAATCAATACACAATACATTACTTCCTAAGTTATCAACCACATATACAATTTCATACACACCATCACAAGGTAATGCTTTAAAATAAAGAACATTATTAAAGAAAGCATTAACCGAACCAACTTCATTATCAAATGAAAAGGTGAAACCTTGTTTATACAATGCATGAAAGGAAATAATATTTCTTGCCATTTCTGGCGAATAACAACATTTATTCAAATCTAAACTAAACCCACTACTTAGCGATAAAGTATAAACTCCAATCTTGATGACAGGTAAAGCTTTTCTATTCCCCATGATTAAGTTTATTCTTCCATGGTCCACATTCTCACTTCTTCTTAGTCCCTGCGAATCAGAACAAATATGAATACCACAACCGGTATCAAGGACCCAAGAGTTAGAATGGGGTGAGTTATTAGATAAGATAGTGTAAATACCTGCATGGTTGGGTTTAACTTTCCCATCCTTCACATCTTGCTGGTATTTTGGGCAGTTCCGCTTCCAATGTGACTTTTCATGGCAATAGAAGCATTCAGCCTCTTTTGGGTCAGAAGAAGGAGTGACGAAACCTTTCTTGGTTCCACTTGAAGAAGAGCCATCAAGGGTCCTAGCCTTGGTACCCTTCGAAGAGCTCTTTCTCTTCTTCCCTCTACCTTTCCCGATTGCCAAAACCGGGGCGGAGTTTGGAGTAGGAGTGTTAACAACCGACTTACCCTTAAGACCTGTTTCTGCGGTCTTAAGGAGTCCCTGAAGTTTGCTGAGTGTGACCTCTTCCTTATTCATGTGATATGTCATGCGGAATTGATCATAGCACGATGGTAAGGAGTGCAAAATGATATCTATTGCAAGCTCCTCAGGGAAGTTCACATTAAGCTTCAGCAACCGATCCACATACCTTTGCATTTTCTGCATGTGGCTCGTGACGGATTCCCCGTCCTTCATCATGGTTGTTATGATAGAGCATATGATTTCATACCTCTCTTGTCGTGCACTTTGATGGTATCTTTCCATCAGATCTTGGTACATTTTCAAAAGGGTAGAAGTCCTCATAGGACTTTTGGAGTTCCGCTGTCATGGTGGCCAACATGATGCATGCCACTTTTGTAGCATCCCTTTCATGTGCCCGGAAGTCAGCGATCTCCTGGGGAGTTGCAGTGGTCTCATCAATCTCCTTAAGCTCCTTCTCAAGGACATATTCTTTGTCCTCGTAGCGGGTAATCATCCTGATGTTTCTGATCCAACACTAATATCATAACATATCGATCACATACTAACATCATAACATACCGATCACATACTAACATCATAACGTAAACAAACAGATAAGCATTGGATGGGTTCTGTATACCCCTTCGGTGTCTTTCAACCGGTAACTGCCAACGGTATCTTTCAACCGGTAACCGGGGACTATTTCACCCCCTACCACTATCACATAATAACGTATCATGATCATACAGCTAGGCATGCATGGGTACTGCCTACCCCTTCGGTATCTTTGAACCGGTAATTGGGGATATAATACCCCTACTATTACTAACACCTGGCATCCTAGCATATAAGGCATATCTCATAAGCATATCACATAAGCATATCACATAAGCATACCAAGATAATTATCACAAAGACAATTATCTACCAACTACCCCTGTTGGTGGGCCGGCATTGTGGCCTTAGACCCACCCCTACTAGAAGGTAACTCACCTCACACTGCTGACGTCCCGCAGACTCAATCCCACACTGCTGAAGTCCCGCAGACCCAGCCCCAGCTGCTAGATGACAGATTCCCGAACTGTCGACACCAAAATAACACCCAATTAATAATTGGGTCCCAACTCATAACCATAAATACATACTTGGATAATTACTACATTACCCCAAGGTTGGCTTTATTCAAGCCCAAGGCCCAATCCAAAGGCCCAAAAGTCAACTATGAGTCAAAGTCCCAACATATGGCCCAATTTTCCAAATTGGGCCCAAACCTTTATAAGGTCTTACCATAAGGCCCAACCAAAAGTCCAGTCCAACATTTGACCTTCTAATGGCCCAATATCACATAATCATAAAGACCCAAACTATGGCCCATCTATGGCCCAATTTTCCAAATTGGGCCCAAACCCCTTACATGGGCCTTACCCTAGGCCCATTAAATATTCTAGTCCATTTTCTTGACTTTGGATGGCCCATTAATAACGCAATCATCAATGCCCAATAGAAGGCCTAACAATACACCCATGCGAAATTAGGGTTTCAAATAAAATGACGATTAGGGTTAAGTGTTTCTCACTTAACCTATTAAGGACTTAATCCATTAAGGACTTAATCCATTAAGTCCATCATTCTTCTAAATAAATCGTATGGTATGATTGGGCTTAATCACACAATTCTATTATTCCAATGGCCCACAAGTGGGTCTCAATAAGTCCAAGCCCATAAATCCATTATTAGGGTTTTCTAAACCCTAATTAGGGTTTCCAACCCCATCTTGGCCCAATAGGCCCAAAAACCAAGTCCTTAAGCCCATTAGGGTTTTCCTTAGGTCAATTTGGCTTATTACACCCATTAGTCACATGTTTGGGCTTTTGGGTCCATTAGGGCTTTATTGGGCCTATTAGGCCCACTAGAATATCATTGAGTCCATTAGGGTTTGCATTGGGTCAATTTGAGTCCATTAGACCCATTAGGGTTTTCACTAAGCCCATTAAGGCTTCTTTGGGCCCATATGAGCTTACAAGGCCCATTAGGGTTTCAAGCACCCTTCCCAAAACGAATCAACTCACAAGGCAAACACACCGCCACCCGACATGGCGGTCGGTGGCGGCAGGAGGCGACAGCCACCACCCTACGGTGGTGGTTAGGGTTTCTTTCTCATTATTCCATTTCCAATTACATTTTACAAGGCGAAATCTCAAGATGACGCACACACACTAAACAAAATAAGCACACACACGGTCGCAGCCACCACCTCACGGTGGTGGTGGTGGCTGTTCTTGGTATTCCAAATAGACAAAACACATGCACATAAACTTCAGATTGCATCCAACACTCCAGCCACCCACCTGACGGCTCAAGGTGGCGGCAGCAACACAAAAACGGCAGCACCAGCAGCGGTTACGACGATAGCCACCACCTCACAGTGGTGGCGGTGGTTTTTCTTTGTCCCCAGCTGAGCAAACGAACAGCAACCACAGCCCACCCCCAAGCTTGCAACCCACGAGCTGAAGCACACCAAAACTGCCTCTTCGGATCAGCAAATGACGACGGGCACGGGCGGAGAAGAAGAACTAAGCGACGACGACGCTTCGATGGTCACGAAAATGGACGCAGCAGCGGCGCTTCCGGTGGCGAAGAAGTGAAGGCAGCAAGGTTGTGCATGTCGGCGCTCAACAACGTAAAAGGTGGGACGGCGACGGTCGACTCCGACTCGTCAGATCGGAAACGCACGAAGAAAGGGAGTGGCGGCAATGTAACAGTGGGACGGTGGTGCTCCGATCCCGGCTTCTCTTCTCGTCGGAATGATAGCAGCGACCACAGCAAGGCGGCACGGCTGTGGTGGCGGATGAACTGAGCCATCGGACTCGGTGTAGCAACCGGCGGCTGATGAGGGAGGCATAATGGTAGGTGACGGCTGCCTCTCATCTTAGGGTTAGGGTTTGATGACTAAAGGATTTATATACCCGATCCATACACATCTTTCCCATACTTACAATTCTGGTCCCTCCCCTTGGGATCTTTTCAAATCTAATCCAATAATTACCCTTTAGACCCCGACTTCTAAAATTCTTTTCATAATAAACCCCCAAAATTTCTAAACGGCCCCTAATATCGTAATTATGACTTATTCAGCCCCTCCACCTCTTTTCCTTTTTAATTTAAATCCAATTAATTACCATGGGGTCCCTGTCTTCATATATATTTATAAAATGAGTCCCAAACCCGCACTTTTAACCCCTGGCTTCTAAAAATGTGGCAATTAACTCCTCGAACCCAACACCCTGAATATATAATTATTTATTTTAGGCTACCATTCGTTCATTAATTTATTTATTTAACTAATAAATAAACGGGTGTTACAACCATCATCCTTAACCTGAGTTTTATCCATATGTAGGGGCTTTACTAGTTCATTTTGGTTGGTCTGTATGGCAAAGGAATAGGGCCAAAGGCTTTGATTTAGTTTGGATCATAGAATCCAAGAGGTATGTTGCTTGTTTTATTTCAACTTCTATAGAAAACGATCACCTTTGAAAGTCAGTTTTACATGTTTTTTTGTGATATGTATATTATTGACTATTGTTTTGTTTATATTTCAGCATAGGTGTGGATTTTAGTAACCCAGTTATAGATTCAGTTGCATCTTTTGTTCAAGTTACTTTTGGAGTAGTTTACGTCACTTTTTATGTTTTAAAGTTATTATCTTTTTGTAATGACAATTCTTTAGTTTTGTGATTTTCTATGTTAGAGATATGTACTTTGTTTATACATTGCTTTAATTACAAATATTAAGAGGTCTTATTATAGTTTTATTTTTTGTACTTTTAGCACAGTTAATTTTTATTTAACAATGGAAAATTGGTATATAATGTTATACCGATTATAAATGTTCTATTGAGTGGGTGTTTTTGTTGATGTCATTTTCTGATACATTGGTTGTGTATTTTTCAATTGTTAAGGTTAATAAATATAGGCTGAATCAATAAATTAGTTGTTAATTACAAGCATATGTTAATTTAACATTGTATAAAAGGAAAATAGTTATATTGATTGGTTTTGTAATGAATTGTGTTTTTTATGGTAATTTAGGTTTAGTTTGCAACGAACTACATTTGGGAACACTATGTTGTTCGAATTTATATATCTTACATTTTACTAGTGTTGAAATATGTAAGAAGGATAGTTACATATTGGCAGGTTGTAGGATGTAAACGAGATAAAATGTTAATGAAAATCTTTGTCCTATGTTTTTTGTTTTGGTTTCGTCTACTGTGAAGGAAAACATATGAATTTATTTTTTGTTTGTCTTCTAAAAAAATATATATTGTTATGTTTTGTAATATCTTTATGGAAATGGTCATTCTTTATAAGTTCTGTTGCTTTTTTTCTTTACATACACAAGAAAAATAGTTGATATTTGTACATAAAGACAGTTGTCCTTACTGTGTATTGCGAAAAAGTTTTGAATAAAATATCTCATTTACTTTCTAAATAGGATAGGAATGATGAACTTATTTTCATTTTCTATTAAGTGTAATTGTTGTGCTTATAAGATATGATAGATCAGTATTTTTCTACTTCGGCAGTAATGTCCTATGTGCAAGTCAACTTAACTTAATTTACTGGGTATTGACCGTGGTCAATATTATAACCTCCTGCACTCCACACGTAACCGTCTAGGCCACTCTCTTTTTAACCGTATGCCCAAATATTTATATAACTACTTCTCATTATTTAATTAATGGAATTGTTTTTATTCAGATAAATTCCTGATAAAGATTGATTGCTAGGGATATATAACTGGTTAGGTTCGTGTTATTTATAAATGCATCATTTAATGTTTATATTTAACATATAGAATAATATATCTTATTTTGTAGGGTACAATGGAGACGTTAAATATATCAAGAACAAACTATCGTTTTGATGTTAACATGCTGATTGAGGTTATTTCTCGAACTTGTTTAAGAACATTTGATATTATGCGGGCTACAAGTAAAGAAATGATGACCATCTTCTTCTTGATCTGTATAAGCAGTGTAATGATATCGCTGCGGGTTTTATCATTCAAGAAAGACCACTGGTTCATATGATCTTCAGTACCATTTTGTTGGATCCCCTTATTCGATGCCCGTTGATCTTAATTTTTTTACAATTATGTTCTAGAATTTTAGTGTCGTCAGAACATGGAATCCTTTTGTGTGAGTCGGCCCACCCAAACTCTATTGTCATGATTATCTATGTTGTAAATAAATCTGCTACTAAACAATTCAGGGTTATAGCAAATCCGAGAACTAGATTTCATACCTTTAAAGTTGTTATTGTGGTTGTTGGTGGAAATCCATTCCATTATAGGATAATTCGATTATCATACTGAAAGAAAGAGTAACTGACCATGTGAACATCATTGTTATTTAGTAAAAGGCATACTTGATATAGTGATTTTATTTTTTATATGTAGGATAGTCAAGAAGTTTGGTGTGTATTATGAAGTATTTAATTTTGAATTTTTTGACTCAAAAGATTGGGTATGGCGTTTACTAGATCCAATATTGTTTCCGATAATGACATCATTGATTAATGATAAATCAATTATTATCAGAGATAATGTGTACATGTTATTGGAAAACAGTGATATATTAAAGATTAATGCATTTTCAACTGAGTGGGAAACAATCTCATCGCCGACTCCAACGTCTGATAATATAGTTGATACTTCATGGCTCTTGATAAAACATCAAGGAAAACTGGTAATTGAATTTTTGGGTGTTGATGGTATTTTGGAGCATTGGATTCGCATTGTTGATTCATTACAATTTGACTTTTGTTTGGACAATTATTTTGCTAATGAATTATGGGATATCAGTAGTAAGCTAATTTCCTTCTATAGAACAAGTGATGTATACAATGTTGTATCGGTTCATTGGTCATATGGTGTTTTTACTTTTTGTTTAGATTTTATGTTATGTAACTTGGGGATTAGATAATTATTGATGTTTGCTTTATGTTTATTTAATTTTAATACAAAATGTTTTCTAATTGTATTTGGGTTTGGTTTACGGTTTAGTAAAAATAGTTGTATGTATTCATTTTGTTTTGGTTATTAGTCGGAATATAAAATATCAATTTGTTATTTTGGCTGAAAATATATTTTAAAGGAAACTATATTAATTAACAACTTATATTATTTATCTTAATTTAGTTGGAATGTGATTTTGTTTCTCAACAATCGTTGTTATGTGTTTAAATTTTTTAATTGTATATTCTATTAGTGGTACATGTACTATTAAATTTGTAAAAGACGGTATGGTTTTTTTCTTCGCTATAATGGTTTTGCTGTTTTAAATTTATTGAATTGTTATTAATGGCGTAAACTTTAAAATGGATAAATGAATCATAACCCTTAAGCTAATAAACCATATAACTTCATGAAATAAACCTTAAACCTTACCTATATGAGTTATTTTCATAGCTCATATGACTTAATGACATAACCCTTAAACCTTGATCCATATGATTTATTTCCATAACCCTTTAACCATAATCCATATGACTTAATGACATAAACCTTAAACCTTTACCCATATTACTTGTTTCCATAACCCTTCAACCATAACCAATATGACTTGGCATAACTCTTAAACTCTTACCCATATGACTTATTTGCATAACCCTTAAACCATGTCCCTTACGTTGGTTATGAATATAAAAATTTGTTGAAATTCATTATAAAAACAAAATGTTATGTTAACTAAGTACAAAAACATCATTGTATATATAGTTAAAACACAAGCAGTTTTACTTTCACAAAATATTTAGCATTATTAATGCATTACTTTAAAGTTATAAATGTTGTCTACTATACACAACATACATCCACAAAAAAAAGACAAAATATTGTGTTTACAACAATTACCATAAAGTGACAACTAACGATACCTTCAAAAATTACAATCTGATTTATACTCCCTATACCAACAACAAACAAGGTTGGAATCCAATATTTGATCATATTCAACATGTTGGTCAAATGCCCGTTCAATGGAATAGTTATCCTCTAGACATTGCAAGATGATTTCATGTGTTGTAGGTCTATGAATCATTGGTATATTCACCATAAATTGTGTCACATTTGTTGAAGCATCAATAAAGTCTTGACCATACGTTTTCATTTCACCAAAATAATCTTCAAGTATGTTCAAACCTACAACTAAATATCAGAAATAACAATCAATTCACTGTCACATTTTTAAGATGTCTTTCATAATATACAACATAAAAAATATCATTAGATTAGGTTTTTGACATGAATATTAAACTTAGTCTTACATAGCCAATACCTTGTATAATATATCATATATAATAAGGTACACAAATGTATAGGTATATACTTACCTTGATAGCATGTAGGGTACCCCATGGAGTTGTGAATCATCCCAATCGCATAATTTCTTCATAATGACTCGTATCTGCTATGAAATGTAACATCCTTATTCCATCATTAAAGTTACAGTTGGAGAAGTACTCAACCTGTAAATCAGATTAACATCAAAATTAAGACTAATAACCAAAAAAATATATATATGTTGCCATAAATTGATCAAGAATAATGTATACCATTCCTAATCTATATCTTGCATAAAGATTTCCTTCAATTGCACATAGATGTAAAAAGGTTTCTTCATCCGTATTCAAATACACCCATGGCTTGGAGGAAAATGATCAAATGAGGCTAATTTATACACAATCCCTATTGTCCAGCTCGATACATTGTTTTACAACTAATGTAGTAGAAATTAAAGGTAAATAATAATAAATCATGTTTCACTTCATGTCATGTACAGTTACAAGTTTGGGTGTGTGAAAAATACATTAATCTTGCAAAGATAATGCTTTTTGTCAACTTTGATCCCGCTCTTGAAATA